CAGTGTGCTGTTGCTAGTGGTACGACAAATAGGATTTTAGATTGTATCTATAGAAATATTGAATACAAGACAAGGGATGCTATTGTTTCACTGTATAGATCACTTGGAAGGCCTCATTTAGAGTACTGTGTATAGTTTTGGACTCCCTCAATTAGGGCATTGAATTGTTCAGGAAGGTTCTGAGAAGAGCCACTAGAATGATACCTGGGATGGTGGGATTATCCTATGAGGAGAGACTAAAATCTCTAAACTTGTTTTCTCTGAAGAGTCTGAGGGGATTTGATTGAGGTGTTTAAGATTATTCAGGGCATTGATAATATAGATTCATGAAACTCTTTTGTGTTTAGCAGTGAAAACAATAGGACAAGGGATAATAAATTCAAATTTTGGCAGCATAAGAGTTGTATGCAGTTTAGACAGTATTACTTTTCAAACTGGGTGGCTGGCTTTTGGAATGAGCTGTCTTCAAGGGTGGTGGAGGCAGAAAATGTAACTGAGTTCAAGAAAAGATTGGATGAATACGTGAGTAGTAAGTAGTGGTTATAGTTGGGAGCTGGAAAGAACATCAGTGATGGGCTAATAAGCTTCTTTTTTTCCCTATCAAATTTTATGAATTAGGTCCTACTTCTTTTTGTTGTAGTTTAGCTATAACTATTAAATACACATGTTGTAGTACACTAAATATACCTGAACACCTTTCTTTGCTCAGAGATATACTTGTATCATTTTAGGTTGGAAGATAATGCTCTCATTTAAAATATTTTTTGTTGGGAAATTGTTAACACCAAGAAAAAAACAACTTAGAAGTAGAAAAACATCAAATACTAAATTTAAAACTAAACCTGTCGTAACAATATGAATATATAGTAAATTAAGAAACTTGCAGTGTATTGATAATTATCTGAAACTGTGTTTCTGTCATTGAAGTTTTAAAAACTATTTATTCAGGCCAGGATACTATGAAAATATATTTGTTTATTTCATATTTTCATCACCAATTCAAAATGTTTTGAAGTTCAGTGAAAGTTGCATAATCAGTGCTGTTTTGTGTTTTTGTCCAATAAGCAATGGATAGATACCAAAAGCTACAAGAAATTGAGTTATACCCATCCTACAGCTCACTACCATATCTATCTTTGTTAATACTTTTATAATTCAGTAATATATGAGCATGATTTGTAAACATTTTCTCATACTCTGGGTAGTTTTAAGAAATGAGATTTTCAACTAAAATTAGTTAACTGTTCTATTTCTGCAAACAAAATTAGATATTTCTTTTATTTAATGATAATAGTCTATTATCTTTGGAGTAATATATCATATTTTAGTTATTTGCAAATAATGGTAAAGGTCCAAAGTGACTTGCAGACTTTTTGTTTACTACCATTTAAGTAACAGTAGTGGCCTCATTAAGTGATAATTTCTTTACATATTTTCTTCTGAGATAGTTGATGAACATTTGAAGAAGAATATGGGTACAAGAGCATTCTTGGTTTTTCTTATGTTGTTTCAGAGCTTTGTTGGTGATTTTTTTTATTCATAGTTCAGAAAGCTAGATATTATTAATTTCAATAATATTTTTCATTAAGAATTCTATTTTAAACAAGAGGCATCTTAACAAGAGCTTGTGTTCTGTTTAGGTTTTTTGATGTTTTGATAATTTAATGCACAAATAATATGATGGATAACACCTTTTCAAACATAATCTCAATCACAAAAATTTTTAAAGTTGGATCAATTCTTATAGAAAAAATGTAAAAAAAATAACATTTAGAAACATAAAAAAGAAATGTTATCACACCAAGCTGTATATTTACCAATTACAAAAATATATACAAATTTATGATCATTCAATAAGCACTGTGGATTTCTAAATTTAGTTTTTATTTAAAAAATTCAATACCTCTATTCATATTTTGCAAAAATAAGATGAATGAAATTTATTAACTTTTTCAGCTTAATTATTGTAGGTGAATTTCTAAAAAAACGGTAGTCACATGACGCTGGTAACGTGTCACGAGTTTCTAGAAGGATCATCACTTTCCTTGCAACTCTAGTCTTTTCTAGGCACCCTCTATTTTAGTATATAAGCCCAGTAAATAAAGCAGAGAGTAGAAGTGACGGCATAGATAATGGCAGATAGGGAGATATAGAGACAGATAATTGAGTCAAGTGAGCGGTAGTGACCATAAGTAAAGTGCTGGAATCGTTGTGAATTATAGCGTGTGTTTAAGTTAAAGTGACTGTGGAAATTATGTGTATTGCAAAGTTGTATTGAGAAAGGACTTGTATCACTGAAGTTCTTCAGAAAGAATATTTAGGAGAAATTAACAAGCATAAGAGACGTAACAATATTAAAACAGTTATCCCTATTAAAGAATAACTAAACTTATAGTTTTCAGAGAAACAAGAAAAGGTAATCTTGCTAGAAGCATCATAGATTTATAATTAAACTAACTGTAGCTTATACATTAAATTTTACAGATCCACAAATAAACATTATTAATAACAAGTATGTGCTTAAATTTTTGTTCAAAATCTTTAAAGACAAGTATCATACATTGTTACTTGCATGGTAATTTGCACAGACTTGGACTCAATATAGAATTATATTAGTATTAATCATATTATTAATAATTATCATTACTAAGCCAAAGAGAGAAGTAATAATCTATCTTTATTCAAATTAATAATTTAATATAAGTTTAAATCCCATCTTAAAAGTTATAGTTATATGACTAAGGAATCAGACTTTATCAAAAACATCCAAATTTCAAAATCAGAGGAAAACAGAAACTTCTGGAATTTAAGAACGTGAAATCAAAATGTCAAAACTTGTAATACAAACTACAGTGGACTTGTACTAAATTAGGTGTAAACTGTACTCAATGTTAGGTTACTGGAGTGAGGCCGGATGTGCAATTAAAATATATGCTTTTTATTTTTTGAAAAGTAAACAATTATTGATATTCTTTTAGTCTTGAATACAAAGTATTATGGGAAATAGCTAAAAGCTCTACTGTAAAGTGTCAGCAGAAAGTAAGTGTCCAAGTCTGCCACCAAATGGTGGTGCTTCAAGTGACAGTCAGTTGAATGAGAGGAGTAGAATTGCAAGAAAGCTTGATCCTGTTGACTTGTTAAATTTTTAGGACTTGTTTGTACCTTATCATATCCATATTAACATGCCAAAGCTTTTCAAGAGAAAAAAAAAAGAAATATCATGTAAAACAGAACTCAATGACAGGAAAATAGCTAGTAAATGAATTCACACTGAAAGGTTAATTGAACAAGAAAAAAATATAAAATTCTTAATCAGCCAATGAATGCTAAAGAAACTCAGGCAGTGAAATGATATTCATTCACTACATGCTTTACAACTTTAAAAAATGTATTGTCTTAAAGATGCATAGCTAATAACACAGTGCAATTTGATGTAAAATTTTATGTTACAATTAAATTTGTATTATTAAGTACCAGTTACTATTAAAGCATTATTTCTCCTTTATTTTGTGTTCCTCCACAGTCTAATAAAATGCCAACAAATAGTTTCAGGTATGTATGGATTTTACTTACTTCATATGAACATTTTAGTTTGAATTTTTAAACCAAAATACTGATATACACATGTTGTACAGAATGATACCATGTGTTTACTACCCCACACCAGTTAGTATGTAGTTTTTCTTGAACTTTCTATATTCTTACAGTTCAGTTTGGACCCAGAGACTTGCTCAAGTAAACATTTCCTTATTTTAGTTGCATATGGGACCAGATTCATTAATTTGTTATTGCGTTTTCTTGCACAAAAAATAGCTTTGATTTCACATGTGATGTCGCAAAACAGACAGCTGTTTTTTTTGTCAGTGAATTATGCAATGGCCAGGGGCTTCTTCACCCTCTATGCTCGAACATGTATGGTTTCAGGTCAGTTGTGCAAGGTGTATGTATTAAGCAACCTAGTTTTTTTCATGTTATTGTATTTTAGTGTTTAAAAGCCAGGATCTTACTTGTTAAGCAGATTTTGAGCTTTCATAGACTTTTTGATTTGGAGTGATTTTTGATTAGAGATCTTGTTAGCTTTCATTTAGTTCATGCTCTACTTTGAAAGGTTTGACCTACATTAACATTGTAGAATTATTTTACATTTAAGATTTTTTTAACTTATGGGGGCTCATACTGAATTGATGAGAGAAAACCAATAAAGGTTTCTGTTCACATTCCTTCTCTTACATCTACTATAAACACTTGCCCTTGTTTTTATTTCATTATATTTGTACTTTGATTGTCGTTTTGTATGTTTGTATTCTGACTCCTTTTTTGATGAACTCAGTAGGAGCTCCAAAAGTTAACAAACCTGTGTACTGTTACATTATATTTGTCAGAACTCCAATTAAGTGGACCCTACATAATGCTCTGTAAAAGAGCTGTTTACCAGGAAATACCACACATGTATACACAACAAATTAGGTACATATAAAAAAAATATGAAAAACAAAACATTCTTTATTTATAAAGCTTGTTGATTAATCAATGAAAATTTCAGTTTGGATTTAAAAAATTAAGTATGAATGCAAATGTACAGTATAATGAGGTTCAGAAAACCTTAACTTTTGCTTATAACTGACTTCATTAGTCAGTTATGTGCAATAACATTTAAGATTTCAGTATTTTCTGTATAGATGTGTGTTTAGTAATTGTGCATTAAAATATTGCTGAAAAAGATATTTTAGGGTTTCCAACATATCTCTGACAATTGTGAGTATTTTTCATTTTAATATAAACATTGCCTTTGAACTTGATAATAATCATAATATCTCTTAAGTCTCGGTGTACTACCCTGTATTTAAGGTAAAGCAATATTTTGTTGTCAATAGGTTTATTTTTTAGAAGCAAATCAATATTTGATCTCCACAAGCAGTTCTTTGTCTACAACTTAATCTAGTGATGATGAACGGTAAAGATGACAAGGATTCACAAATAGGAACATTTGATCTCCTCAAGCAGTTCTTGGTCTATAATACCATCTGGTAGTGATAACAGGTAATGATGACATGGATTAAAAAAAGAGGGATATTTGACCTTTAGAAGAAATTCTTGGGCAACAATCCCACGTGGTGATAATGAAAGATAAGGATTCACAAAGATGGACATAAGTAATTTAATTGTTTCATTAAGTATACACTTGGAATTTCAACATTTAACCCAATATATTCAGATTTTTCTTTATTTCCTTTTCACTTCAATAATATAATAATATCAATAAACCTTTACTGCAAACTTGTTAAGGTTTAATGGTTTTAAATCTTTGAACAAACTATCAGTACACAAATGGCACATACCCAACGACATCAATTAAACTCTTTTGCAAACACTACGATGTTACATGTCAGCCTTTATATTTAACACCCCCTGTGGTTGAAACTAGTAGTTAGTCTTCTTTTTTATATAATACAAACTCGCAATCGGAAATCGTTTTGATTTTTCCGTTGTACTGAAAAATCTTTTTCTACGTGTGACGGTCCGATTCGTATCAATGCTGCCTTTAATTGCCATCTACAAAAATGATTAGTTGTTTGTTCATGAAAATTTTACATTTACTTTTAGATATTTAGAACATAAAAATGACATTTCTACACAGTTTTATACTTGTTTCAAACATGTCAATGACTAATATATTTCTGAAATTGATAAAACAAATGGTTTATTTTTAGGAATTAGTATTCCAAGTAGTAGATATAGAATTGCAATAACCACTTTATTTCAAAGTATAATGTGAAACATTTTTGTATTTATTTCAAATCTACCAAGGCTCTTTGTCGCTATCCCTAATTTTGAACTACTGACCAGAGGGAAGTTAGTTAACAGCACTCTACAGCTCACCATTCACGATGGGGGATTGACTACCACTCTTGTAACGTATCCACATCAGTGACTTTAGAAACCGACACCTTATCCAAGATTCAATAAAAGAGGTTACAGGATTTGGTCTTCAGCATAAGACGTGTACTGTGCTGAATCGTATCCGCACCGGGCTAGCAACGGATTAAAGACACCCCTGTATGTGTGTGTGTGTAATTTTGAACATCCAACTCAAACAACCGATTACATTATATATTTGTGCCCTAAACGCCGCTTTTCGGGAGGTATCGGTGACCTCCATACAACAACACCTGATGCTATCAAATAAATCTGAAGTTTCGATATACAACTCTAATTTGCTGTTTTAATACTTCATACGAAGAAGAACGTGCCCACAACTTATAGTGTGTATGCGTGGAAGGAGGGATGTTTGTGGTATTGAATGGATTGGACCTCAGTTCGCCGGCTACTACAAGTGGAAGGAGGGATCTTTGTGGTGTTGAATGGATTGGAACTTAGTTCGCCAGCTACTACAAGGCCAAACCACATACCTCAGGGAAAGATCAATTTCATGATCTAGTCGGCCAAAAACTCATTAAAATTCTAAATGAAAGCACTGATGTGATGAATCTTTTTACCAAACTTTTTAGTAAAAATGTTTGTAATCATATGAAAAGTTATTCATCGTGTTTTAATAACTTCATTCAGAGACCAATACGATCATTTTGTCCTTTAAGGCTGTCTCTACACGCCTCCCCCTCGCTATTAAGAAAAGTAAAAATATATGTCAACCTTTAATTTTTCAGGAAATTATTGATTTTCTTTTTCAAACTTTCGTAAAACGTCAGCCTCTACTACTGCTGACAGCGACTCGTCTTTTAAGTCAATTACCCTGTTAGAAAAATAAAAATGTCTTAATTCAAATGTATCTTGTCTTTTCCAAATCTTAAACGTGTGTCCTCTGGTTCTATTGTCTCCAAAATACAGCACAAGGAAATAAGAAGTCTTTAACCTATCGATCCCTTGGATAATCCGATAAACTTTTATATACTTATATTCTGCAACTTATACAATTACATAGATATCTTCCAGAGATGTCAACTTTTAAATATTAAGTGAGATACCCTCTCCATAACAGGTGGACGCGAAGTCGATAGCACCTTAGAACTCCAGTTGGATCCAGAGGCAGAGGTGAGGGTCCAAGAGGAAAAACTCTGGACTTTCTTTGATTTCAAGCATTTTGAAGGTAGAAGAATGGTTTTCTTTGCAAAATAATGTTGTTTATTTTTGAAATAATCCTTTCATTTTGTTTAAAGATGGAATGTAAGTAAGGCATTTTTATAGATCTAGAAGCACAAAGATACATCACGTTACATACTGAACTATATAAAATATGAATCTAGGAACAGGAGAAATTATAAAGTTAATTAACATTTATTCCACCATACATGTATAATCGAGACCATTTTCATTCTTGGTAAGAATAGTATTTCCTGAACGCAAATGGCCCAACCATATGCTGAAGGTATTCATTTTCCGATTTTTAATAACAGATTTAAGTGAGACCGTGAGATAAACATCAAATCCGTGAGATTTATGAAAAGTCCACAAAGAGCTGGTGTTATAATGGTTGAACGCGGCTTGATT